TGATGATGATGACAATCTTCTCATTGAGGACTCTGAGGATTTCACTCCCTGGTAACTTGGGGAAATTACTTAATTGATCTAAGTGCTCCCCAAAACTTGGATCCTCTATTCCATCTCCTAATGTCTAGTATTGAGTAAACATTAAATTTCAGAACTTGTCGGAATAGTGCCTGAACCTAGCCTGTGTTTGGTGGGTGTTACCTGGTGGCCTTAATCTTCTCAGAAACACTTCATTCCAAAGGGAAATAGAGGAGAGTACCCCTCCCCCACCCAAGTCCACACAAATAGGTATGGATTTTCTGTAGAGTCTCTGGCCACATTGTAGCCATTTGCTTCTTCCATCACTACCCACATATTTTTTAAATGCTTCCTTTTCTTGGAATATGGATAATAAAACCTCCCCAGGTCCATTTTCCACAGCACCTTGTTTCCCTGGGCACACCTGTTCTTAAGTGGATCAAATTCATGGCGCTGGCCTCCCATGGCTTCAGCTACAGAGTCTGTTGTCTTTCAGTGCCACACGCCTGTCTCTCGATGCCCCCTTGCTCCCCAGATTCACTTGTTCGTATCTGATGGGAACATCATTATCTCATTATCTATCCTGTCTTTCATTCTTAATGATACATTCTGATCGGAATTGTTCTACCAGCTTTGGACTGAGAAGCATGGGCTGTCGGTGTCCAGCTGGAGACACAACTCTTGGCTCCATTATAGCATCTCTCCATTCTCCCCCCAGCTCCCGGCAACCCTCTCAGAGGTCTGCAGACACCCTAAGTGCTGCTGACCTGCCAGCACTGTGCTGTATAAACAGGAGAGTTCTTGCCCTCCTGGAGTTTGGATAGAATCAGTGTGCATTTTGTCACTCAGTGATAAAGTACAGGAAGAGTACCGGGGGAAATACAGCATGACAAGCTATCCATGGCGGTCAGTGTGAGTATACCGTTTCCCAGGTATCACCCACCGACAGCTAACTGCTAAGATGAGCCTCTTCAGGCAGCCACATTCCAACACCTGCCAAAGTTACTTTTGCCCATACGTGTTGAGCAACCTGGTCACACGCACTCTTGCATCCTTATGCAAGTCATCTGTGTGGATAACACATTACGAGTTACATATTATGATCTCTGTTTGATGGAGACTGTTTCCTGTTGCTATGGTCTTCTCACTGAAACACTAAGTGAGACGGCTGCCTTACCCCCTTTTTCTTGTTTGTGTTTGTTCTTTAAGCTTATATCTCTGGTAGACAAAGCCCAGTGATTACTACAGCCACTCTGCTAGACCTTAGGTTGTGGGAGAGCTCCATGCTGGAGAGCTGTGAAAGGTCAAAGTGTACTCACTGGTCAGCCCCGGGCTTTACCAGGATTGCCCATGATCATCCTGGCCAAACTCCCTTCCCTGACCCCTGCTTCCCTGAATTCAAATGAATATTCTCTTTTAAACAAATATTTTAGGCATACTACATCAAACCAGTCCTTTGAGCTGATGCTAATTCGTATGTGAGTGCAGATTTCCTTGCCTATTTCTATCCAGCACCAGGGCCGTCTTCATAACTCTAAGTCATGGTGGAGTCTCCATATAGCTCCATGCTTGGCATGTGTTTTTACCTCTTCCTGGAATGCTTTTTTTTTTTCCCTCATCCACTGGGTTAACTCCCACTCATCTTCAAAATTTAGCTCAAGCAACACCTTTTTTTTTTTTAATCCTACACGTATGCCCCCTACACATGCACATACTCCCTGCATCCTCACAGGCTGAGACTCCATTTCTTCATCCTACTAAGAGCTATTAGCACCTGATTTGTGCCTAACACATAGTAGGCTGCACACACACACACACACACACACACACACACAGAGCTTATAGAATCAATAAGCAAGCGAGTGGCAATAGTTAAAGTGTAATAACTGCTTAAGTGAAGCCGAGCCTGTGCTTTGGGGACCTAAGAGCAGAAAGCAGGGAGTGCCTCTCCATCTTCCTGGAAAAATTCACTTGCTGAGTGCAGTCCCCCCCAGCCAATCACTGCCAGTGTGATGTTCCTTAACTGTTGCTCTGCTTCTGTGGGAAGACAGAGCTGTAGCTTTTAATGAAGACAGCCCAATCCCCAGAGGCTAAAGATCATGCCATCATTTTGTTCTCATGTATATTGGAGCTTCCCGAGCTCTCAGTAAATATTAAGCAGCAGCAGGATGTCCTTCCTGCCTCGTAGCCTTGAGCTGAGGCCGGGAGACAGTTTTACTCGGTCTTCAGCCCGTCTGCTTCTTAGAATCTCCAGAAAACCTCTCTGCAGTTCAGATATCTGTCTTCCTAGATAAGCAGAAGTGGACCGAAGGAGTTGGGAAGGGTGGCTTCAGGGTCTACAGTCATGAGAACTGACACCAGTCTGTAGGTTACTGCCAGGAGACCGGCGACTAGAAACAGACTCCCAGGACACTGAATGGAGAGACTGGATCCCTAAAGCAACAGGCAGAGGAAAACAGCTGGACCACTTGGGTTGCCTCAAAGACCTGCAGAGGGTAAGGGAATTCTTTATGATGGCTTTTTCTTAAGTTCTTCAGGTTGATGTTGATATGTATGGTGAGCTCCAGGTCTGTGCTGTATACCCTAAGTTATGACTCACAGGGCATACCCTCCTTGGGGTCAAATGACCCTTTTACAGGGGTCATATATCAGATATCCTGCACAGCAAATATTTATATTATGATTCATAACAGTAGCAAAATTACAGCGGTGAAATAGCAATAAAATAATTTTATGGGCGGGGGTCACCACAGCATGAGGAACTTCATTAAAGGGCCGTGAAAGTGGGGAGGTTGAGAATCCCTGCTCTGATTTTTACAGACCCTGTTCTGTTGGTTTTCTAGACTTTTGTAACTTTTACCTTCTGTGTTAAGTGTGTAGCTTTCCCTGAGGTTCTTAGTCCTTCAGCTATGCACTTCCAGGAAAAAACCAACCAACTTAATGTCTACACCTGCATGCACAGACACTGCTCTGTCTCAAGCCCAGGGCCAAGGAGATGCATTTTCAAGCTTCCTTCCTGTGCCCTAGCAAGCTTCACCCTTGTGGGCCAAGCTATAGTCAACAGAACAGAGGATACACGCCATAGACCTGGAAATGGGCGTTTCTCTTGTCTTAACTTTGTGGTTGTAGAAACTGGCTAAATTAAAATGCTCATCCCCCTCATCTGTAGCCAGATAGTAGCAGATCTGTCCTCTGTGGCAGAGAGTCACTCATAGCTACTGTAAGGTCCGGTTGTTTGGTTGTTTGGTTGTTTGTTTTTGGTTTTTGGTATTTGGAGACAGGGTTTCTCTGTGTAGCCCTGGCTGTCCTGGAACTCACACTGTAGACCAGGCTGGCCTTGAATTCAGAAATCTGCCTGCCTCTGCCTCCCAAGTGCTGGGATTAAAGGCGTGTACCACCACTACCCGGCTAAGGTTGGTGTTCTTATCCTCAGTCCCCTGACCCACCGTTCAGGCCCCACCTCTGAGGAGGCAGCATGGATGTGATACACTGAGTTGACACTATATTTCTAGAACTGAGTTCCAGAGCCTTGCTGTGATCATATTTTTGGCCAACTTTGGTTTTTGTCTTCTATTGTTTTTCAGTGCTGGGATTTAATCTAGGAGCCCATGTGTGTTACACAGGTACTCTTCCACTGAGCCACATCCCCAGACCTCAGTTCAGTTTTCGAGTTTTGCTATGCTGCCCAGGTTAGCCTTGAACTCACTTCACAGCCCAGTCTGGCTTTGAACTTGTTGTGATCCCTCTGCCTCAGAGTCCTGAGCAGCTGGAATTATTGTCCTAAACAGGCCTACCCTCTGACCAACACTGGTGAAAAGAAAAGATACTGACACCATGTCTGAAATAAACTGACTTTGCCCGGTCATCTCAACAATGTTCATGTTTGTGAAAGACGGTGGGAGCCGTCCAGATTTTCTACCCTTTGTTTTCATCTCTTTTTCTGCAAGCTCAAATTATTTATTTATTTATTTATTTATTTATTTATTCTTTTTTCTTTTTTCTTCCTTTCTTCCTTTCTCCCTTTCTTCCTTCCTTCCTTCCTTCCTTCTTTCTTTCTCTCTCTCTCCCTCTCTCTCTCTCTCTTTCTCTCTCTCTTTCTTTCTTCTTTCTTTCTTTCTTTCTTTCTTTCTTTCTTTCTTTCTTTCTTTCTTTCATCTCCCCCTGTAAATCAGGCTGGCCTCAAACTCACAATGATCCTCCAGCCTTAGTCTCTCAATGTTGGTATCACAGGTAGATGCTACTACACTCAACTATCAAATATCCCTCGGGTCCGTCTGACTCAGGAGTCACTCTTGCTGTTCCTGCGTAGGAACACCCTCATAACCTCCAGTGACTCCTTTTGATTGCTCTTGGGCCTTGCGAACAGCTGCCATTTCTGTACAAAGGATCAGGCTCAAATGAGTCAATGTGCTTCTTGTTAGCATGCTGAATAAGGAAACTCCTGCCTATTAGGCAGGCTGCCCCTCAGCCTCCCCATAGCCACAGATCTTTATAGTGAGAGCCAGAAGAGAGGGCTTCCCTTGCTTCTCTCGCTGCCTTCGCCTTCCTTATTATTTTAAGAGCTCCTGCTGTGGAGCAAAGCCTCTCCACTCCCACTACTTTGCCCTTATAACGAATCCCATTGCGTTCTAAGTACGTGCTCTGCAAAGAATGGGTGTGTCTTGTTCTAAGTAGGTGCTCTGCAAAGAATGGGTGTGTCTTGCACACACTTTCTGAGCTGCCCACATATTCATTCTGCCTGACAAATACATCTCAACAGCCTTCTCCTGCTGAAAGGAAGACTCTGATGGTTGCCACTTCCATGGCCCCCTGTTCATGCCGTCGGCTGTACTTGCTTACTCTGTGGTCTCCCACCACCTGCCCTATCCCTAAGGTGTTCTTTAAGCCTCTCTTGTATACACCACAAAATCTTGATAGTCACACCATTCCTGAGATAACATCTTCTTAGCCCCTTTTCATTCTTGTTGGAGAAGGAATAAAAAAAAAAAAAAAGGTTCCACCCACCAGCCAAAGAAGTAGTCATCAAGAACAATTTGTGGGATCTTTGCAGCTTCACTTCCTCTTAGCTTGCTCTTCTTCCTAGGCCTCCTTCCAGCCCAGGAGAGGCCAGACTTTCTCTCCAGGCACTCCTCTTACCCATTGCTAATCAGGGCCACTTGTTTCTGCAGGAATTCGAGCTGCCTGTGTTAATTCCTCAGACACCACAGGTGCCATATCTGCTGTTTCAGCAGGCTCACTTTTAATCAAGTTGTCTTCTGTAGTCCTCTTCATTAAGCATTAAGAGACTTAGCCTTATTCTTAAGGCTTAATTCTGTTGTGTCCTCGAGGTTTATAATCAGATCACAGCCATGCCATTTCAAAATGATGACAATAAAATGAACAAACAGAAAAATGGCTTGAGGTCGTGTTTGGGTCGGAGCGGCTTCCTATTAATGGTTCTACTTCACAGTTTTTTGCCTTAGGGACATAAAGCGATCTAGAAAAATGGACCTTCTCCAGCAAAAGAAAGAGCCGTGTTCATAGAAACCGTGGCAAAGAGCGTCAAGTTGTTTGCTTTTTCTATTTGATTACTTTGATAGTGTGTGTCAGCTCTATCTTCATAAAAGTTCCTCCAAAAACTAAACTCCCAAAGCAACTGCAGGGACTTCATTACAGCTGAGGGACCCTGGCATCTTCACAGAGTGAGGGCTCTCCTAACATGGAGCATTGGGAGGGAGCAGAGCTGCAGTGTGGAAGGAACCTGTGGTCCAGCCGCTGCTACGCGGTTGATAAGTCACTTCAAGTATAGAATGATGCTTCTAACCGGCTGAGCTTGCTCAGGATTCTGGATTACATCATCAGAAGAAGCCAAAAGCCAAAAGTACATACCGGTTCTCTCCCGGTGAATTGATCTTGGAAAGTGATTTAACTGTATTCAGGGTCTCCAAATAAGTGTTTCCAACTGAGGCTCAGCCCATGTCTTCTAATAAACATAGGAGCCTCATCACTGCCGCCCAGGACTTCTGACATCACTGTCATCCAGAACTTCTGACATCATTTCTAAGAAAGAGACGCCTCTCGTCCATTTGGAGAACTGGTTCCCCTGTGGCCCCAGAAGCCACGTAGAAACTGCCAAGCTCTAGGTTCTGTGGCTCTGGATTCTAACAAAAAAAATAATAAATTTGTTACAAATATAAGTGTATCTTATGCTTGCTATGCCTTTCAATCCACTCATTTATCCCCTGGAGTTTTTTACAGACTCTCCCTGCTCCCATAATCCAGCTAACTCACCATTGGGAAACCATCACTCTTTGTGTTTCAAAACATTGTCAGTCTTTTTTATAGTTATTCTGCAGTTTCCTATTAGAATTCTTTCTACCCTCTCACGATTGTTTTTTTTTTAAAATGTTTCAGTAAGGCAGAAGGGCATGATGTTTCAGGAGGCAGAATCAGGTGCGTATCTTCTATGTCAAGGCCAGCCTGGAGTTCCAGGTCACCCCGGGGTACATAGAAAAAAAAATATCATTAGTATTCGTTGCTTTACACATGCCCACCTTTCTAAAGGGATCCATCTGTTGGGTCGAGTACATTTTTTCTCCCTCCATTCTCTCTTACTTCATCTCTCTCTTCTTCCTTTTCTCCACTCCTCCCATCATTTCCCCTTAAAAATACAAATCCATTCTCTTGCAGTTCTTGGAGCCAGTGACAGGACACAGTCTCAACTGGGCTAACATGAAGGTGTCCATTCGCAGGGGTACACAGCTCTCTGGAGGCTCCAAGGCTGCACCTGTTTTCTTGCCCTTTTCCAGCTTCTTGAATCCACATGCATTTCTTGGCTCACGGCCCTCTTTGTTTTTCCCCCAGTGGCAACTGCAGTCTTTCACATCTTCCCTGTGCCCCATCACAGAACCGGCTTCCTTGTGAGTCTGTCTCCAGTAGACTTCCATCTACACAGATTGTCAAAGACAGCAGCTTTCCTTGTGTTCTTGTGTTATAAGTGGCCATCTTTAAGTCAGAAGGAAGAATGTGGCAGAAAGCCTGTGTAACAAGTCCTGGGCTCAATCCTAGCACTGCCAAAGAAAAAGAAGTACAATTCTTTAATGAAAAATATTTACTGGGAAGTGGTGGCACATACCTTTAATCCTAGCACTTGGGGAGAAGAGGGAGGTGAATCTCTGAGTTCTGGGGCAGCCTGGTCTACAGAGTGAGTTCCAGGACAGCCAAGACTACACAGAGAAGTCCTGTCTCAGGAGGAGAGAGAGAGAGAGAGAGAGAGAGAGAGAGAGAGAGAGAGAGAGA